CCATCCATCCATCCATCCATCCATCCATCCATCCATCCATCCATCCTCCTCCCCCAAAAGCGAACCAAATCAAAAACACAAGGCACCTATAGTTCGCACCACCTGTTTCGGTGGTCTCCAGTGGTTGGGCCGCCCACGAGGTCGGTCGGAACGTGCTCGGGTTCGACCAGCAGGTGTGGATGGAGGCGGCCTCCAAGCGTTTGGGACACCTGGCGCATTGGCGCTTGAAGGAGACGCAGCAGGCGCATGCCGGGGTCTGGGCGGATGCTGGGGCGGATGCTGGGGTGAATTCATGAGACTGGCTGGATGGGTGGGGAGGGATCAAGAGGTTGGGGAGCCAATGAGTGACATTTGGTCTCTAGGATGGTTCGGAAAAGCACTTGGACGTCCGGAGTCCTGCATGGAAGCAGTTGATCAATTCTTGGTGCTGTCAAGAATGGGATGTGGAATCCAACCAAGTTCCAGTTAATACACCCCAGAAGATTAACATGGAACCTGAAAATGGACCTTTGGACAACTATGGACCACGTTCCTTTACACTCCAGTGGTTTTCAGGTTCCGTCTGGGTCTCAGAACCAGGGTGTAGATGGGTAACCACTCGACTGTGAGCACAGACTTTGAAGCTCGCTTTGGCTCAGGCTGCGCAATTGGCCGAGGTCGGGTTGGCGACGTGTGAAGTGTCGGACTTGGGTGACATCAGACCTGGAATGGCTTGTCACGATCAGATCACGTTGGGAGTCCACGGTTTCTTGGAGACTGATCCAACCTTAGACTCTTGGATTTGAGTCGACTTCGACTCACGTTCCGTGGCGCAAAGGCATGGAGCCCCTGGTGGGAGATGTTTGGGGTGTGAATGTGTGGCCTAGGTCCAGGTGATGAAGGGGTTCCATCCGTTCCATGACCAATGATGTGTTGCGATGCGATGTGTTTTCTTCTTCTTACCACTTGGTTGTGGGTGCTACCTACCCTGTGTTTTGAGCCCTCGCCAGCTTTGCCCCCATCGCACCGACACCCCGCGCACGGCACCGCATCCGTTCCCGTCCGTGTGATCGGTGGAGCGACCTGACATCATCCGCAGTCGTTGTATCACAGAAGAAGCGAAGACTGCGACGGAAGACACTCTTTTTCCTTGTCATTTGATGACTAACTTACTCCACATACTACATGGTGTATTTTGTTCGATGTGTGGCTGTACTACCATGTGCCGACTGGTCTGCGGGTGGGGTTCGGTTAGGAGATGCTCCTGCTCGTGAAGGCAGCTGGAACTTCTGTGCAGCAGGTGGGACAAGGAAGAATCATTGGTGCAGATTGATTGGATGATTTGCCTTGGTGTGCAGATCACGTCGGACGGCTCTTTCGCGGACTGCTTTGGCTGCCCAGCTCGTCGCACTGGTTCCCCAGCTCCTCGACCCCCAGGGAACGGTATGGTGTGTCATCCAGCCGCATCATCCAAATACAGTAAGCACAAACTGTTGGGGGGGTCTTATATGGCCAAATAAATCTTTCCTGCGTTCTCCTGCGTTCCTTTGTTACTCCCAACTGTGACAGTCGATTCTTTGGAAGTGTACAGCTTTTGCTGTGAATTCAGTGCAGACAGTTGCATTTCAGTAGGAAAGCCCTTGGTTTTTGTGGTAGACCATCGTGACCATCAGAGCAGAAAACATGTGTGTTTCAGTCTCCCTGTACGGAAAACCGAAATCCAAGGTCTTACTGTAGGGCCCAAAATCAGGGGGTCATTCCATAAAAGGGATTCTAACTGGGATGTTTCAGTCATTCATTCTCCCCCTTTGACCATCTTTGAGCATTTTTGATTGATTTTGGGTCTGGGTGTCAGGTGGAGGCTCTGCTGGAGACAGCGGAAGCACACCTGGTCCGAGTCAAGCAGCGGGAGGCGCGGCGCGCGTGCGGACGTGTGTGCAAGCGCGTGAAGGCAGCCTTTATTCCCCAGGGGGTGTTGAATAGCCGCTTCGCCTTGTGTTTTGACAGACGTACTGTACTGTTTGTTGATGGCAAGCCTCTGGTGTTTGTGGGCCCGCAGAGAAGAGAAACATAGAAACTGAAACGGTGTCCAAGTTTTTTCTTTGAAGGGGACATACCTTTCATTTTGCTGTCTGTTTCACCATGGTTCTCAGCAGATAGAATCGGGGGTAACTCAAGCAATTATATCTGACATGATTGCATTTTTTTTGGACTTTCGACCCACTGCATACTAATCACACTTGAAGGGTTTGTGTCGTTCAAAGCCTTTTTGATGCCAGCACTAGCATGGCACAAACTTGCCAGCGCTTTTGAAGCTCCACTTCTCTTGTACTTGTAAGGTATGCTCTCAGTATCTCAGTACTCTCAGTGAGTTTCTAGGCAGCCAATCAACAGCAATGAATATCACTTTGACGACTTCACTGGACAAAGTGGCCAAGAAAAAGCCCAAGTGGTTCCTTCAATGGCCCAAGTGCGTCTGGACAAGTGCGTTTTCCTGAGACCTGGGCTTCTTTGCATGTTGATCTCGGTCAGACCTCTCCCAGGTCTGAAAATTTGTTCTTTCCAGTCGCAAAAAAAGATGCCAAACCCGGTTATGCCAAGCATCACTAAAAGGACCGGGCCATGACCTGCAGGTCGGATGTCTCAAGAATCACTTGGTTTCTTTGTGACTCGATTTGTTTGACCAGAAAGTTTGTTCAAGCTGTTCCTTCCATTGTAATACTTATGGCAAGCATTGGAACAGGTCCTGGAAGGTGCTGGGTTTTCAGTTGGTGCAAACATCGCCCCATCCACAAGCACATTCTTGGTGATCCTCCTAAGAACCCTTGCGCACGAGGCCAATGCTCAACGCAGCTCTCTGGTGGCATGGGCTGGGGAGCCTGGGCATGGGTCAGTTTGGAGTCTGATGGCGCACCCAGATGGCCCAAATGATTGACATTCTGATTGAGTTGACGTGCTGCAGCCTGGCCTCTTCCCCCTCGGTCCCTTTTTCGATGGCACGCCACCGGACCTCTCACGGCCGGCCACGCACCGGACCGGGCCAGGCCTCACGAGCGTTTGACCTGGCGGGGGAGGCCCTCACGCTGTGCGACGCGAAGTCGCTCCGCTCCCAGGCGCGGCGAGTCCGCTGCGGTGCGAGTGCGCCGTCGGCGGGGGCGTCGTCGGGGGAGCTGTCTCACCTTTTTCAAAGAGAATGACGTGAGAAGATGTTTGATTAATTTTTGTTTGACCCCCCTGTGTTGATCCTACTGTATATAAATCATTTTGAAACTGCAGAGAACTATCAAGCCGCCCTCGAGCGGCTGCCATCGAAGCGGTGTTTTTCCACGGTGCCCAGGCTTGTGCGCGGCTCCTGCGGGCCAAGGCAGCCCTCCAGGGCGGCTTCAGCTTGGCCCAGGCGAGGGCGATGGAATTCCAGAGTGGAGTGCCGAAAAAGGAGGGCGGGTTCAAAGGCAGAGGGGTTTGTTTCAAAAACGGGGAGACCATCATATGTGTATAACATTGTATAACTACGGTACATTATTATATGAAAACACACATACATGTAATACATATATACCCGGGCCCTCACAACCATGAAAAACAAAGGTTTTCACATACAAAAACAGGTTGTTTGCTAGGGAAAACAAGGTTTTTGATGGTTGGTGGGGCCCCTGGTATATATATATATATATATTGATTACTTATTTTACTATACATTTACCCCGCGAAGATCTACTACCGTTTTGAAGTGCATTCCAAGCCTTCCCAGTTCACACCTTTCCGCCTCCAGCGCCAGCTGCAGCGTTCGCGCTCGGCCCACAGGCCTTGGAAGATGCAGAAGAGGCCCGACTCCTCATGAACGACGTGTCCGAACGCCGTGGGGTTCGGGTGCCCGGAGCATCCGAAAAGAGGATCAGGGAGGTCAGACCAGATGGGAGGTACGAAGTGGATATGGTTACGGTATTTTGTTGATACATCCATGTTCATAACAATACATCTAACTGGAGTGTTTTAGTGATATCAAATCGGTGTATTTGTCATTCATGTGTCTCAAACGAGAGGCCTGCCACGCCTGAGTGGATGTGACAGCAAAAACCAACATGTCCCGAAAGGGTTGTTGTGACAGGTGCACAAGCAGTCTATACTTTTTGACACTTCTCGTGGTAAGGAAGAGAAACAAGAAAACGACCGTCACTATTCATAGTTAGAACTTCAATCTGTAGAACAAGTGTTTATGCACAGAACTTTGAAGTGTTTAACACAGTCTTTGCATAGAAGAAGGTGTCCATGTGCAAATAGGACTGATGCTGACAGGGAAGTGGGCCCCTTTGTCAATGTTCTTGCGCATTGGAAGCTTGCAACTTACGACAGAGGAGAGCGCCTCACAGTAAAGACATTTTTGCATCTCAATGTAGAAATCTTAACATGGGAATATCATGGAAGTGGGTGTTTACTTAATAGAAACAACGTTATCCCTTTGTAGTCCTGTCTACAGATTGGAAAGGGACATAGTTTATAGCAATTTTCTTGCAGAACAAAGATACTGTGACATTCCAGTTAATATCAACATGAAACAACGCCTCTCATAGCTGCAGGATGATTAAACGTCTTCAAACCACCACAGAAACCTCTCGAAGCAAGAGCAGAAAGTTATATGTCCAAACATGCAACGACGAAAATAGGTTGAACCAAAAGCACAGGAAACATCACTGACAAGTTTTACCGCGCACTTCTGACATAGCTGGGGTATAGTTTGCTTTTGAAGAAGCTGTGCTTTTGCTGGAACTAGGACATGCCCTCCCGATCATGTTTTGTATCTTTCAGACTTCTTCGCACCTTTGTTTAGCAACAACACCTACAGGTTGACAACAACATTGCAGGTTAACATGAACCGCGCGTGTTATTGCTCCCGGTTGATTCACCCACCGGTTTTGAGGAATGAGTACCAGAAAGGTGCTGATCGGATGGATGGATCTTTCTTTTAGACCCCCTGTTGATTGAACTGACCAGGTTTTTTGGGCTGCAGAGGTGTGGTGACCTCATGCGGATGCAGCTGTGATCTCACCTTAACCTCGCCCGCAGATCCGCTCTCAGGTGGCCTCGGCTTTGTTGCTCCAAGCTGAGGTGGAGGGCTTTTGGATGTGGAGGAGTTGGTGCTTGGGAGGGGATGGTCTGTTGGGTGCTCAGGGTGAGTAGTTGATGGATGGGATGGGGATGATGGGCAGTGATGGATGGGTTTTGCTCACAGTCTTCATGGGATGTTTTTAGACTCTGATCTCCCCCCACCCTGAAAAAAGTCCCCATTTGTTGCGATGCCCTACTTGGCGGACTTTTGTTTGTCGATTGTACGATGCACTTTGAAGACATCCAACAAAAAGTGGATGATACCTCCCTCAGTCTCCTCTATCATCATGCCCCGTGTGGACTCTATGGACCATCGAACACCTTCAGATCCCCCTCGCAGTCGTCATCAGTCGTCTCCACCATCTCGGTCGGGAGCCTGAAACATGCGATGAGACTGGAGGCGAACTCCTTCAAACCAGCAAAAAAGCGATGGCCTCCAACCTAAGGGCGATGGCCTCCAACCCTAAGGGCGGTGGCCTCCAACCTAAGAGCGGTGGCTTCCAACCTAAGAGCGATGGCCTCCAACCGAAGAGCGATGAGTCTGGAGGTGAACTCCTTGGAGGGCCGCACGTTGAAGGCTTCCAGTTTGGTGAAAGAGGCCGTCGCACCCACCGACCGCGGCACGGACGGACCACATTCTGTTGATGGTCTCATTGTGTGAAGCGGAGTTGCTTTTTTGCATGTGAGAGCATCTCCAGTGCTCAAGTGCTGGGTTTTGGCGTGCCTGAAAGACGGGACAGTTTCTGGAGGCCATGAGGTGGCTGAAGGTTCCTTTGTTCCATCCCCATTGATTTTGGACTCCCTCCCATCTGTAGACCTCAGTGCTTTTGGAATGCCGCAATACTTGAACCATCTTGAACCAGACAAGTGCAATTTGCAGAAGGATAAAGTCGAGTTCCGCAACTGCGCAGGATTCCGCAACTAGGATTCCGCAACTGTTTGGTCGGATTCCGCAACTGGGATTCCGCACCTAGGATTCCGAAACTAGGATTCCGCAACTGGGATTCCGCAACTGGGATTCCGCAACTAGGATTCCGCAACAGGATTCCGCAACTAGGATTCCGCAACTAGGTTTCTGCAACTGGGATTCCGCAACTGGCGTTCCGCAACTAGGATTCCGCAACATTGTGGATTCCCTCGCTAGGATTCCGCAACTTTGTGAATGATGAGGGGGTTGGCGTGATGTCAAGATGAGGGGTTGGGGGGGGTTGGGTGGGGGGTTAATGACGTTGGTTTGGATGTGCTTCGAAGGTGATGTCACAGGCAAACACGCTATTGCATGATGTGGAGATCACCAGTTGCAAGTTTCAGAAGGCAAGTTGCAGAATCTGACTTTCCAGTTTCAGAATACCAGTTGCAGAATCTGACTTTCCAGTTTCAGAATACAAGTTTCAGAATCCCAGTTTCAGAATCCTAGTTTCAGAACCCCAGTTTCAGAATCCTAGTTTCAGAACCCCAGTTTCAGAATACTAGTTTCAGAATCCAAGTTTCAGAACCCTAATTTCAGAACCCCAGTTTCAGAACCCTAGTTTCAGAATGTGACCGATTAGTTTCCGAATCCGGCTCTAACCATTTGCAGAATTCTATCTGGACCATCCATTGTCCAATGGACTACAGTATTGTATGATCCTGATTAGCAAAGAGGTCCTCTATAGTGCTAAAATGTTCAATAATAATTCTGACCCCCAGGTTTGTTTAAAGGGTCCTCTATTGTGGTATATTGTGGTCATGTTTGTTGGGATCCTGTTTTTAATATAGGGGGATCCTGTTTACTAATCAGGATCCAACATTACACTGCTTATGTAAACCCGACTGCCCTTGCTCCATCCCCAATCATCACCTCCCAAAAGGCAGGATGCGCATCGCTTTTTTTGGTTGCTGGAAGACCATTGTCAAGCCATACCAGGGTAGACCAATCATTCTTCCATCCGTTGGGATGTGGCCGGGTCGAGATCCGATGTGACCGGGGCGCTCGATGTTCATGTCCTAGCCGGTGTGCCACTGAAGAGGGAAGAACCAACGGTGAATCAACCGGTCCTTCTCATTCTTTCTCGACCCAGCCACTGAGTGTTAAGGTTACCCACTGAAGCAGGCCACCTGCTGAAGAGTGCTGAAGCATCCAACCATTCCCAATCGAAGATCGTGACCTGCTGGTCGTTTTTCAGGCGCAAGCTCTGAGTGAGGACCTGCACCAGGCACGGTGAGTTTATAACCCACCGGGATGAAGAACTCTTTGGTTTGATGAACAGATGGAGGATCATGCAGGTGCGACATGACCAAATTCCTTCAAGCATGGCCCTGGATCAACTCTTTGTTGCTTCAACATGGTTCAAACACTCCATTCATTCGTTTACATTTGCAGAGGTTGTTTTGGGACTTGGTGGTGTTCTCCACGAAGTTGAGGCATGCAAACACCATGGTGCCTTCTTTTTGTCAAGACAAAATTCTCGGAGTCGAGGCATGCTGGTGGGAGTTCTTGACCAGTACAGTACAACCCCAACGTCCATACTCAAGTGCTGACCTGAAGATCTTCGCCCTTTTTCCTTTCGGTCGCGTCTAAGACATGATCCGCACGCGCATCGGTTCCGTCTCCACAAACGCCTTGGATCCGAAGATCGCAGCCGTGGCACACTGTGGAACCTTCCAGACATGTCCATCTCGCCTGGTCCTTGCACGGTCGCACGGCCGGCACGGTGGAACCGGTCTGGCGGCCGGGGCGGCACGGGCCTTGCGGCGCGTGAAAGAAGCAACGGCAGGGCGGCTATAGAGCAGAAAGTACTTCGACAGAATGGTTTGCCAAGGTTCTGAGGGTCGTTTGCAGTAGGTGCAAGGGTAGATGACCAAGCCGGGCAAGGCTGTTGCTGGAATCACTGCAGAATGGAATGTGGGTGTGTATTTTAATGGGGTGACACCATGTGCCACCTAACCGTAGACTGGTCTACTGCATTTCTTTTCTTCCAGGGGTCGTGCGCTGGGGAGGTCTCCCTATTTTAATACACACTCATGTCCAACTTGGGCATTCTGACATTCCAGGCTGGAGAACAGAACTGGGGAGAAGCTTTTTGGGATCGAACACATCTTGTTAACTGGCCATATGACAAGACCATTCTACAAACTAGGGCTTGTGACACGTGGATTGGTCATCCTGTGTTGGGGGGCAACCCAAGTGATTTGTCAAGCATTCCATTTCCTTTCTTCGCATTAGGCACGTCGACTGGATGGCAACATCACCACAGGAGCCACCACAGTGGCTTGTTGAATCACATTTGTTCCCCGGCCCCCTACCCCACCCACACTACGAACCCAGACATACATACATACCTATAGTTTCTAGGTATGTATGTTTCCGCAGACATACATACATACCTATCATTTTCCAGGTATGTATGTTTCCCCAGATATACATACCTTTGACATACATACATACCTCTAGTTTCTAGGTATGTATGTTTCCCCGGACATACATACATACCTATCATTTTCCTGGTATGTATGTTTCCCCAGATATACATACCTTGGACATACATACATA